GTGTAAGCAAACAGAAACTTACTTGAAAGGTTTCAATGGAGGACAAGGCGGGTGGCGGCAGTTGGCAAGTGGCGCGTGGAGGTTGGCGGGTGGCGAACGGAAGGGTCTTCACTTCAACAGGAGCAGCAGCATCTCTGGTGGCTTGTCTTCAGCTCCAGCAGCAGCAGCAGCAGCAGCAGCAGCAGCAGCAGCGCTTGCAGCTTGTCTTCAGCTCCAGCAGAGGTCCCTTCCCTGGACAAGAGAAGAAAATAAGCGAAGTTAGAATCTGCTACAGAATTACTTAAACAACGACGTAGAAACATACAAAATAGAAAAGGAGAACACAAGCGGCAAAACAATGAATTGACAAGGAGGCGGTGTAAGGAAACAGAAACTCACTTGAAACGTTTCATCGGAGGACAAGGCGGGTGGCGGCGGTTGGCGAGTGGCGCGTAGAGGTTGGCGGGTGGCGGATGGAAGGGTCTTCACTTCAACAGGAGCAGCAGCATCGCTTGTGGCTTGTCTTCAGCTCCAACAGCAGCAGCAGCAGCAGCGCTTGCGGCTTGTCTTCAGCTCTAGCGGAGGTCCCTTGCCTGGACAAGAGAAGAAAATAAACAAATTTAGAATCTGAAGAGGAATTCCTTAACAAAACGGCGTAGAAACATACAAATTAGAAAACGAAAACGCAAGCGGCAAAACAATGAATTGACAAGGAGGCGGTGTAAGTAAACAGAAACTCACTTGAAACGTTTCATTGGAGGACAAGGCGGGTGGCGGGGGTTGGCGATTGGCGCGTGGAGGTTGGCGAGTGGCGGATGGAAGGGTCTTCACTTCAACAGGAGCAGCAGCATCCCTTGTGGCTTGTCTTCAGCTCCAACAGCAGCAGCAGCCGCGTCGCTTGCGGCTTGTCTTCACCTCTAGCGGAGGTCCCTTCCCTGGTCAAGAGAAGAAAATAAACTAAGTTAGAATCTGAAAAGAAATTCCTTCAACAAAACAGAGAAGAAACATACAAATTAGAAAAGGAAAGCGCAAGTGGCAAAAAAATAAATTGACAAGGAGGCGGTGTAAGTAAACAGAAACTTACTTGAAATGTTTCATTGGAGGCCAAGGCGGGTGGCGGTTGGCGAGTGGCGCGTGGAGGTTGGCGGGTGGCGGATGGAAGGGTCTTCACTTCAACAGGAGCAGCAACATCTCTTGTGGCTTGTCTTCAGCTCCAACAGCGGCAGCAGCAGCAGCAGCTTCGCTTGCGGCTTGTCTTCAGCTCCAGCAGCTCCTTTCAGGTCCGTTGATTCCAGGTCCGTTAAGCTTGATTCCATATATGTTATAGCTTAATTCCAGCTCCATTCAGAAGCAGCAGCTCCCTTGCCTGCAGAACGCAATAACACGAAGTTAGTACTTGCCATGCTACTTTCTTAACAATGTATCTTAGGACTCGGAACTGATATAGATCTATCGCAGTGGTAAGAATGAAATCAAATTTATACTTACTTTGAAAGTCGACTTGGAGAGAAAATACACCCTCCTTCCAGATTCGTTCGGCTTGATTCCAGCTCCATTCAGAACCAGCAACTCACTTGCCTGCAGAACGCAATAGCATGAAGTTACTACTTCCAATGAAGCTTTCTTAACAATGAATCTTAAAAAGTCAGAACTGAAATATATCTATTGCAGTAGCAAGAACGAAATCAGATACATACTTTCTTCGACAGATGACTTGGAGGAAAGCACACCCTCCTTACGGCTCTGTTCACCTCCTCCCAGCAGCTCCTTTCAGATCCGTTGATTCCAGGTCCGTTTAAGCTTGATTCCAGATCAGTTTAAGCTTGATTCCAGCTCCGTTCAGCAGCAGCTCCCTTGCCTGCAGAATGCAACAGCACAATGTTAAAAGTTGCCAAGAATAATTCGTAACAATGTATCTTTAAACACGGAACTGAAATTGATCTACCACAGTAGGAAGACTGAAATCGGATTAAACTTACTTTAAAAGTAGACTTGGAGGGAAAGGACACCCTCCGTCCAGATCCGTTCAGCTTGAGTCCAGCTACGTTCAGCTTGATTCCAGATCCGTTCAGCTTGATTCCAGATCCGTTCAGCTTGATTCCAGATCCGTTCAGCAGCAGCAGCTCTCTTGCCTGCACAAGGCAATAGCACGAAGTTAAAACTTGACAAGAAGCTTTCTTAACAAAGTATTAAAGAAATAAGGAACTGAAATTATATCTACAGCAGTAGCAATAATGAAATAAGACATACTTACTTTGAAAGTCTACTTTGAAAGTACTTGAAAGTAAACCAGCAGCATCTCCTCCCAACAGCTCGCAGCAACGGGATAAATTCGTTCCAGCTCCAGCAGCCGCGCACCACTTAAAACGCGTGTTGTTCTTCACTGGGGGACGGGCGACAAGACAAAACAAAGTAAGTTAGTGGCCAATAAATACAGTTGCGAATAAAATAAAACAAGAGCAAACCGAAAAACGAAATGATTGCAAAAAATGGCAATGAAGTGAATGAGAAATGGGAGCATCCATGATTCTCCGAATGGCCACAGCTCGCAGAGGGAGGATCTAACTGCTACCCAAACCCAAACCCAAACCGAGGAGGATCATCTGCTTGCTGCGACCATCATCGAATCAGAGGGACGGTGCACAATGAATTATGAATGATGTGTGCATGTGAGAAAAAAAACGACAATGAGCGGAAAAAAAAAATAACATAAAGAACGTTAAGGGAATGGGACTTCCCAGTTGCGGTCATCGTGAGCAGATCCGCCTTCATGCCACGCTCATCACCGCCTTCGCACACCCTCCATTGATGGAAGTGATAGTTCGCGTCCACAAGAAGAATCGGTTGAGGAGTTGCCCACAGTGCTGGAAGAGAAGACTCCGAGTGCTAGAAGAGAAGACATCGAGTTCTGAGCTCAGAATGACCACATCTGCTGCACTACTATCAAGTTGGCTCAATCACAAGGATGAGCTTGAAAGGATGTTTGAACGGGGGTCCTGGTTTGGGAGAAGTATCGGTGGTTCGGATCCCAACCTACAACTTCTTTGCCGCGCATTTTTCGAAATAAAAACGATCTGGATTGGATGAAAGCCCGAGCGACTGTCTCAACTGCTTGAATATTCATGCTTCATCCAAGGTTTGGGAGAAAGTGGATCTGAAGGTAGAGGTTCGGGGAAACACAACCTAGCAGGTTGTGGATCGGATCCTAATCTGTTGCGGCACCAAAATTAACCGCGCATCGATCAAGCTCTGAGAGGGAGCTGCTAACCTGCCATGGTAGCCGCTAATTCTGACGGGTTGCTTTCCTCTCTGCTTGTGTGGAGTCAGCTTGAGCAAACCCTAGCTGACCCAGGCGGGAAGAGGAGGGTGCAGCAGAAGTTGGAACAGTGTCAGATTCAAGACAATGGAGTGAACATTTGGAGGAAGTTCAAGAATAATCACTTCCAATGACAATTTTCCCACCGAGCGAAAATGTCAGCACAATTCAGACCAAGTACCAGGCTGACCACAATCTTCCCCCCCGTTCTGGTTAGCTCTGCCATAAAAAAATCAGCAGCGACAATCTAAAGCGAGCCCCCCAAACTAAACAGCATTTCTCTTTATGCCCGCTCTTTCTGGGGATGGTGGTGGTCCCCACTCCACCCCACCCCCCACGGGAATTGGGATTTGCGTGGCAGTCGAGGAAAGGGCTAATAACTAAATTGTTCACACCCAGTTTTGTGTGAATGTACAGCATTTCCTGCGGTCATTTTCCACACGCACACCCCCACACCCCAAGACAACACTCGTTATTGTGGCACTGTACAGTAACTGGTTGACCAGTCGAGGTGGAAAAGGCTGCCCAAGAACTTACCTCGGAGTCCCTAATTTTGAAGAAGGCTGTTTCCAGTGAATCACATCACAACGCAACTGTGTCAGTGGTGGTCCCCACCCCACGAATTCGGAATCACGTGATATTATTTTTTTAGATGTGGCCGAGTAAAGGGCTGATGAACTGAAAGTATTTCTGAAGATCCTACGCAAAAACACCCCCAAAAACACCCCATGACAGCATTCGTGATTCTTCTAAATCGTGTATTAGGGCGTGTGTGATTTTTGGAAACCTGTCGAAGTTCGAACTCTAACCGCTTTGCACCGTGGCAAAACAGCTCTCAAACGTATTCTACCATGTAGAACCGTTATAAAAGTTGTGGGAGGTTCGAAAAAAAATCACACACGCCCTTAGGTTCAGCATTCAAACTTACGAAGGCTGCCCCGCAAACAGACCTTGGGAGTCCCTCCAAACTGGTTTTGAAGAAGGCGGGTTCCGGCTGGTTGCAGCGTTCCAGTCCCTCGAGACGCGAGGGATGTAACCCAGACTGGCGAAGTGCAGATGGGTGAGACGAGAAGGATTGCGCGGGAATGTTCTTTCTCGTTATGACTGGTAACAGATTGCTCAAACGCTGGCGTGACGCGGCAGAAAGCCACATTCGGGTGGTACAAAAGTTTCAGAAATACGGCTTGCAGTCATGATGCACCCGACACAAGCCGCGAAACGCGTTCGGGCATGGTTGAGCTGCGGCTGCACAGCAACATGAGTTGAGACTTGGCTTTAGTGTTATAACGAAGCTAGTGAAATCTTACACGCTACATGTGCACTCGATCAATAGCGTGCCAATTCACAATGTACACAAACCAAAGTTGACAATACATTACAGTTGATTAGTCTGAAGCAATATACATCTCCATACTTATCTTTAGACCACACTTGGGATTCACTTGCATGATAAGGTTTTAGCACAGTAGAGGTCCTTCTGCCCAACTCTACCATCCATATTTCAATTATCTTCTTCCTATTGTCAGCATGGGAGCTCTATACAGACTCAAGTGTTGAAATGAACCTGATTGAGACGCTCACCTGGCATTATTGCAGATTCCATGTGCGTAGTCTTGTACCATACCATACCATCCATCTGCTGCACGTCTTGGCCGAAGAGAAGTCGGCCAAACATGTACTAACACAATGCCGTTTCTACAAATATTTAAATGCAAGCATCAAGATAAGCGTACGAGTGTGCGCGGCTGTACTCCAGGAGACTACTGTATGTGCGATCTGCCACGCCAATAAAGAGCGCCTCTGTATCGGGGGAAAACGATATGCCCGCAATCTCGCCGAATATGTCAATCTCCTGTGCTCGGGTGAACCCGCTGCTCGTGTCAAATACATGCACAAAGTCTGCTGGCTCAGCCATGGCCATGAACCTGAGGGAGAAATGGGTGAGGGGAGGGAGGGAGGGATATCGAGTTGATGTGCCATGTGCAAGGATGTGGTGAGGACGGGGGCTAGGGAGTGAGAGAGGCTGCTTGCGTCAAAGACATGCACGAAGTCTGCTGGTTCGGGCTGCCATGAACCTGGGCGGAAGGGGACTGGCGGGGGAGGGGGGAAGAAGGGGGGAAGAGGGGAGGGGGGGAGGAAGGGGTTTTGAGGTGATGTGTAATGTGCAAGCATGTGGCGAGGAGTGAAAGAAGGGAGGGAGGGGGCAGGGCCACATGTGGTGTTGAGGGAGGGAAGTGTGCAGGCCCAGCCATGACCATCAAGTTGGGTGGAGGGAGGGAGAGGCAGGGAATGACATGTCAGATGGGAATACTCATGTTGTGAAACAGGCAGAAGTGTTTGTCATGTGAACCAAAAACCTGCCATTGCCTGTCCCCCCTCTTTCCCCCCTCCTCCACCACCAGGCACCCACCTGCCATCGCTAGTGAATCTGAGTGACCGAATGGCCCCCAGGCGCCCCTTGAGCGTGAACAGGGAGGAGTCAAGTCGCCGGCGGTCCCACACACGGCACGTGGTGTCCTGGTTGCCCGTAGCAAAGAGGTTGCCGCCCGGGTGCCAGGCTGTAGCGAAGGAGTAGTCCACGTGGCCCTGCATGCGTGCTACAACCTGTGAGGGCAGCGAGGGATGGGATGTGGGGGATGTGGGGATGGGGATGTGATGCGGGGGATGTGGGAGATGGGGATGTGGGGGATGTGGGCATGTGGGGATGTGGGGGATGGGGAGATGGAGATGTGGGGGATGTGGGGGCCGTGGCACATGAGACAGGATTGAGGCAAGGAGGTTAAGATTTGTACAGCAGCTCAGCACAAAAGCGATTTCATCCTGAAGCAAAGTGGAGTGAACTCAGCAAGGACGAGCAGGGGTGGAGTGAGTGAGGCAGGGGCACATGTAATGAGCGGGACGGCAAAGAAGAGCAGGGGATGCGAGGGCACGGGATGCGAGGGCATGGGATGTGATGGTAGGGGAAGCGAGGGCAGGGGATGCGAGGGCAGGGGATGCGAGGGCAGGAGGAACGAACCTTGCCCGAGGTGAGATCGATTAACAACGCCTCAGGGTCGTCCCCCACCACTGACACCAGCATGCTGTCCGGTGCCACTGCCGTGTGCTGGCGAGGGGGAGGGGGGAAGGACAAGAGGGAGGATGAGACGAGAGAGTGATGCGTCATGGACAAGAGGGAGGATGAGACGAGAGAGTGATGCGTCATGGACAAGAGGGGATGCACCACGGGATGCCTCAGGGTCGTCCCCCACCACTGACACCAGTTGGCTGTCCGGTGCTACTGCCGTGTGCTGATGCGTGTGGGAGAGGGGAAAACAAGAGGGAGGATGAGACGAGAGGGAGAGGGAGGGGGATGCTTGTGAGGCTGATATGGACTGAAGTGTTCCCACCACTGACACCACTGTGCTGCCCGGTTACTGCCGTGTGCTGGTGGGCGAAAGCGAGGGGGCGGGTGGGGAAGACGATGGGGAAAACGAGTTGAGAGAGTGCAGGATGAGAGGAGAAAACGTGTAGAAACAAGGAGCAGGGGAGGGAATTAAAGGAAAGGCGGGGCTCACATTGACGGGCCAGGGGAAGGCATGGCGGGAGAGGATGGAGAAGGTGGCGACGTCGAAGTCCCTCACCACACAGTCGTTGTTGGACGTCAGCACGCTCAGTGCTCCACTGCGGGCGAGGGAGAAAGGAGATTGGCGAGAGAGGAAAAAGGGGAGCGAGGAGAGAGAGGGGAGAGAGGAGAGAGAGGGGAGATAGGGACGAGAGAAAAACGGGAGGAAATAGGTGAGAAGAACAGCAGAGCGGGACAGAAGGTTGCTGCAGCGAGACGTGCGGAAGCCAGGAAACCGCACCATCCCACTCAGGAAATCCAAACATCCCTGAGCAAATATAGCCCATCCCCACACCGATCACAAATGCCGTTTGTATCCCATCCCCAAGGGCCGCCTCTCCTCTCACCTGCTGGATCTGAAGATCTCGATGACATTCGTGACGGGCCTCAAAACCCCTCCCTTCGCACCTGTTAGCTCTGAAGATCTCAACAGCGTTCGTGATGGCACTCTCATCCCAGGATAACCTTTGACGGGCCTCAAAACCCCTCCCTTCGCACCTGTTAGCTCTGAAGATCTCAACAGCGTTCGTGATGGCACTCTGATCCCGGGAGACCCGCCCTGTGAACGCCACTCCTGCTTCCGACCCCGAGCCTGCGTCCGCTTCCGAGCCTGTGCCGAGCCTGGTGCAGACCATCTCCCCGTGAAAGCCCCCTGCTACGAGCAGCCCGTGTCTGACGCACATGGTGCTCACTTGTACCCGATCCACCGCCTCCCACACCCCCTCCTGCTGCTGCTGCTGCTGTTGAGAAAGCGCCAGTCCCTCTGCCTCTCTCCCCAGCACCGCTCTGCCCTCCTCTGTACCGCTGCTACTGCTGTTGCTTCTCCCAGCAGCAGCGGAGCCTCCAGCGGAGGGCATGGCCCCCGTGTAAATCGCCCTCGCAGAGGGCTCCAGCTGCACTCCGCTGCGCTGATCCCCCCTGCCTACTGCACCCCCCGCGCCCCCCGCGCCCCCTGCGCCCGCTGCGCCCCGCGCGCCTGCTATGGGCGCGTGCGCGTGAGGGGGGGCGTTGCGCCTGGCGACGAGGGGGTTTCCGAGGTCCAGGACCGGGGTGGAGTTGCGCGTGAGTGGCGAGAAGTGGTTGATGACGTGGTGGTGCAGCGAGTACACGTCATGCGCTGACGTGGCCCACACGAGGTTGCGCAGCTGGAAGTGCACGATGGTGGACTTGACTGCGCGCGTGTTGTGCGTGAACTCGTAGAGATTGCTGCCCGTCGTCACCTGCTGCACTTCCTGGGAGAATTGACAGGCAAGACGGGGGATAAGGCAGGAAAGAAGGAGCCAGAGGGGAGGGAGAGGGGAAGGGGTGAGGAGGAAGAAGAGGGGACGGAGAAAGAAGAGGGGTAAATTGAGGAGGCCGAGTGTGACTTGGCCATATCGTGGAGGGTGGAGGGTGAGGCAAGATGCGGGGTAAGGCAGGCAGAAGGGGTGAGAAGAGAACGGGGCTGGGGAGGGAGAAGGAGGAGGGAAACCGGAGGAAGAGAAGAGGTGCAAAACGAGGAGGAGATGAATGAAACGGAGAATCGAGGACGCCTGACACTTGCTCTCGTGATGATGCATGTCGCGCACATGAACACCGCGCGCACCTTATCCACAGCGTCTAACGAGACGTCGAGGTTCTTGTAGTTCTTGTACTGCTGCAGCCGCATCGCGCGGTACTTCTCCCGACTCAGGTGCAGCCGCTCCCACGGGATCCCCTGAATGTCCCGCCCTCGCCGCACCTGCCGCGCGCTCACGTCCTCCGGGCCTTCCAGCTACCATCAGGGTGAAACAGGGTGCGACGGGAGAAACAGGGAGGTGGGGGGAAGGAAAAGGGATTTTGTTTAGTTGATGAAGAAGCAGGATGCGCGGCGACGGGGAATGGCGCCGCGACCTGACCTAATCTGAATCAGGCTGGCGACGAAATTGACGGTAATTGGAATTGTCGCACGCGAAGGCGGCTGAATGAGATTACACCCGTAAATGCGTAACACCGTAACACGCATAGGGAGCATGCAACGAACATGCATCCAGCGTGTAATGAGGCGATGAACACGCCACGCAACGGCCAATCGACGATCCGAAAACGTACGAGATCATTATCGTCGTCGGAGTTGTCTTGGAACGACCGGGTACCGCCTCGCTGGCTGCCTCGTCGGCGCCATGAGAATCCGAAGTCGTCGTCGCCCAGAACGCTCTCCTCGTCGTCGCCGTCGCTCGCTGCAAGCGATTCGTCCGTGTCGTAATACACCTGCCGCTGCTCCGGATCGCCACTGGCGGGACCCGCGTCGTAGTAAACTCGGCGCTGATGTGTAAGAGTATAGCCGGCATTCGTGTTCTCGTGCTGCTCCGTGTAGCGATAGTCGGAGTTCGTGTTCTCGTGCTGTTCCGTGCTGCGATAGTCGCCGTCCGTGTCCTCTTGCTGTTCCGTGTAGCGATAGTCGGCGTCTGTGTCCTCGTGCTGCTCCGCCATGTCCGTATCGCTCGCATCGCCCATCAGCTGATGCCAGGGAGCGTACGGAAAATAAAGCGCGGGAAAAAAAAGACACAGTGGAAAAGAGATGACGACAACCGCGGAAAGAGACGTACTTAGCTCAACGAGGAAGAGTGAATGACATGATGCACGATATGATAGTAAACGTCGTATTAGTGGTATGGAAACTAGCGAATAAAACATTGATAGCCATAAGAGCCAGTGGAATGCACCAACCTCGAAGTCATCCATCTCACGCAGCACTCCGTCTATTCGCCTCCCTCTTGGATTCCACAATATCGCACACAATCAGAGATAAGACGCGCCGATATAAAGGAATCGAGTCTTGCGCCTAACTATTACTTTCGACAGGGGAGAGAACTTAGGAGAACCTTTAGCGACTTTCCAGGCCAAGGGGGCTTCTGCTGGTGAATGCTTCCGTCAGTTCTACGTTATCTCATAGAAGCAGCAATTTGGCTGGGATGCTCACTGCTCAGATGCTCGGAATGAGCTTGCGTCACATGGGAGTTTTTCGACCTCGAAACCCTACTTAACCGTCTTGAAGCCGAATTGTTAACTTTGTAACGCAATGCAACTCTCTGAAACCCACTAAACACATCTAGGTTTGGTCCGTGTCACTGTAGCACGGCACAGCAGCAGAACATGGGGAAAGCAGTGTGCAGGAAGGGAAGGACGGGACCGACGGGACGGACAGAACGGAGAGGCATACATGCGATGGATCCATGCGATGGGATTTGTCAGAAATGAGACCCTGGGCGAACGAGAAGTTGTTCGCATCGCAGCACCCTGGGCCATGCGACCAGACCGTTTGTCACTGGCGAATGTCGGTTCATCAAGAAGAGTATGTACATCGGACGGCTTCAATCTGCTTTGGGATCTTCTTCAATGCTCTCGCTCGCTGCAATGGATGGTGGTGACGTTGTCGTATTGTCGACCTGCAAATTCGCATCCGTCGCATTGACCCTTCTTGATTTGCCGAAACTACACCTTTCAATGCATCGTAATACCTTTGTTAGCTCAGCACTAAAATTTCTTACAGATTTCTACAAGCGAGGATGCGCCCCTCGATTACTCCATGCACTTCTGCACCTTGGGAAGGGGAAGATCATCCAACACCTTGTTCTGCTCAATCAAGCTCCACGCTGCATGCCGCAATATCAGGCATTTCAGGAACTTCAGACTTCAGGCATTTCAGGTTCAGGACAGGACGACGAGGCAGCTTGAGAAGCTCCATCAGCCATTCCTTCGCCGGATTCTAGTCCTCCTACATTCTATCGTCTTTTCTACCTTTCTTGGTTTGTATTCAGGGTCGATTCCCCGTGCTTCGGACGGATTGTCAGAATGCCTACTCGTAGTAGTGAGAAGCTCAAGGAGAAAGGCACGTCTTCCAAGCATTCCATGTCGCCTCGTCAGCTCGCCGCGTTGACCGCCGTATGCGACACGCTCGTATCCTCCATGCCGGTTCCGACGGACTCCGACGACCCGTACTTTCAGCTCGTCGGGAAGCGAAAGGAAGGCTCGCAGTCGGATAACCGATGGAGCGAGTTTTACGGCAAGCCGCGGAAGGAGGCCATTGCGGCGTATTTCGCGGAATCCGCGTCTAGCCTCGGCATCGTCGACAAGGTTCGTCGTCGCGTTGGTATGATCCTCGATTCCTCGCGCTCTCGCCTCTCGTTCGTTCAGCATTCTGACTCAACGGTCATCCGTCCGGTCCTCCTCCGCAGCCTCCCCTCGTTCGACCCTGCAACTTGCACAAGAATAACGGCGAATCGCGCGCTACCATACTTTCCATCTCTTGCCTATTCGTCTCCGTCGCCGTGTCTGCTCCCCTCCCGTGCAGGTGGCCGCGGCAATGCAACAATACCAGAAGCCGCTAGCGCTTAACGTCTTTGCACGGTGTTGTGGCTCCTCTCCACTCACCTTTCTATAGACATCTCACCTCTGTCTCTGCTCCCCTCCTGATCAGGTGGCCGTGACAATGCAGCAGTGCCTGAAATCCCTGCCTCTTAGCGTCTTCAGCACGGTCGTATGGCTGCTCTCCACTCGCCTTCCTGAAGACGTCATATTTCGCCGCCTTTGCCCCCCCTTGGTTCAGGTGGCCGTGACAATGCAGCAGTGCCTGAAATCCCTGCCTCTTAGCGTCTTCAGCACGGTCGTATGGCTGCTCTCCACTCGCCTTCCTGAAGACATGTCATATTTCGCCGCCTTTGCCCCCCCTTGGTTCAGGTGGCCGTGACAATGCAGCAGTGCCTGAAATCCCTGCCTCTTAGCGTCTTCAGCACGGTCGTATGGCTGCTCTCCACTCGCCTTCCTGAAGACATGTCATATTTCGCCGCCTTTGCCCCCCCTTGGTTCAGGTGGCCGTGACAATGCAGCAGTGCGTGAAGCCATTGCCTCTGGTCGTCTTTGCCACGCTGCTGTGGCTCCTCTCTACTCGCCTCGGCACGCTCCTGCTGGCTGGCCGCAGGGCATTCACCCGGCGACCGCCATTCGTGCAGCCCTTCGCGAAGCTGTCGCCCCAGGCTCGCGAGGCCGTGCTGCTGCAGTGGTCTGTCAGCAGCAACTTCCTGCTGCGGACTGTGTTCAAGGTGGGGATCAGGGGAGGGGGATAAGGGTGTGGGGAAGCTGGTAACGAAGGTTGACGCCGCAGGCCCGAGAGGCCATGCTGCTGCAAGGGTCTGTCAGCAGCAACTTCCTGCCGTGCACTGTGTTCAAGGTGCACTGTGTTCAAGGTGCACTGTGTTCAAGGTGCACTGTGTTCAAGGTGTGAAAGATGATGCCGGATAGTGACTGACAGCAGGAGGGAATCGTGGTGCGTTTTATGCTGTTCATGACTGCTTCAGGCTCGCAAGGCCATGCAAATGGTCTGTCAGCAGCAACTTTTTGCTGCAGACCTTGTTCAAGGTGGGAATCAGGAGGGGAAGGGAGGGGGGGAGAAATTCAGTGATGACGTATGGTGGTGACATCGATAGGGAAGGAAAGAGAGCGAATCCTGCCATGAGGCTGTGTGTGCATGATTTTCAGCTCTGAGGGACATGCATTTGTGAGGCAGCTTCAAAGTCACGGTTGTCGACCCAAGACTCAATCATGCTCGGATTCCAAACCGTGTATGACTCAGTTTCGTGCAAGCATTTTCGTGCAAGCATTTTCGTGCAAGCATTTTCGTGCAAGCATTTTCGTGCAAGCATTTTCGTGCAAGCATTTTCGTGCAAGCATTTTCGTGCAAGCATTTTCGTGCAAGCATTTTCGTGCAAGCATTTTCGTGCAAGCATTTTCGTGCAAGCATTTTCGTGCAAGCATTTTCGTGCAAGCATTTTCGTGCAAGCATTTTCGTGCAAGCATTTTCGTGCAAGCATTTTCGTGCAAGCATTTTCGTGCAAGCATTTTCGTGCAAGCATTTTCGTGCAAGCATTTTCGTGCAAGCATTTTCATGTGAGTGAACCTCGTGCTTGCTCACGTTTCTCTTCGTCATGTTCGTGCTCCCTGTGTCCCCCCTTGTCTCTCACAGACATTCCGCAGCTTCACACTCTTCCACGTGGGTGCACAGGTGAGCCTCCTATCCCTCCTTCCATGCCACATGCCCCAGCTGCGCTCTCTCCCCTCCCCATGCAACGCAACCCCTACTCACCCTGCACTGCAACCTGCTGCTCCCTCGTTTCCCAATCTTTCTCGTTTTTAACCCACCCTGCAACGCGCCGCTCCCCCACGCTACACTCCTCGCTCACGCCTCCCTCCTCATACCCCCCATTAATCAACCAAGAAGCTCCCTTGCTGCGATAGGCGAGGCACAAGTACCAGAAGTACTATCTTATTTTGTCTGGCACGTAGTTGGCACCATCCTCCCAGTTGGCACGTATGGAATCTGTGCTTGAGACATGCGCCTTGAGAAAGCGATTGCCTTAAGTTGTAGCATCCCTGTTGAGCCAGTCACCTTTAATGCACACATGCAACCCATGCACCCCATGCACCCCATACATCCCATGCATCTCAGCATGACGGCTCTGGCGACAACATGCAGTGGCGAGCCATGGGGTACTGTGGACCGGATCCCAGCATGCTGGCTGCTGGGAAGCAACGCAAATACACCAGCAGCAGCAGCCGAGACAGCTCAGCTGCTTGTGATCCTGACGTGGCACAGCGGCCAGCTCAGCATGCTGACGTGGCACAGCGTCCAGCTCAGGGATCCGACAATAGCGAGGGAGAAGCTGAGCGTGAACAGGGAACGATCAGAGGGGGCAGTTGTGATGATGGGTGTGAGGAGAAGGGAGGCGAGACGAGGCCACTGGATGCAGCAGTGGTGGACTGTGCAGCAGAGTGCGAGGGGCTGGCAGCAGTGCTGCAAGGCAAGGGCGTGGAGGTTCTGGCAGGGCCCAGGCAGACGATAGGGCTGCTGGGCAGAAGAGATAAAGGGGAAGGCGAGGTGGGTGGCTCGGGTGAGGTGATGTTTGTGCACTGTGCAGTGGGTGGGTGGTTTAGAGGGAAATGCTCTTGAGATGAACTTACAAAACCCTCATCCTTTTCCCTTACACCTCGCACACCCTCCACCTTGTGCCATCCTTTTTAACCGAGTGCTGTCAATTATCTGCCCCTTTCTTCCCCGTGTCAACCGCTCTGCACCCCTTCCATCGAACCACACACCTTGTCAGCCTGTGGTGGTGCGGTGCGATGCGGTGGTGATCGGTTCTGGCTGTGGAGGAGCGATCATTGCGGCCCAGCTCGCAGAAGCAGCAACAGTGGCTGGTGGGGACAGCAGCAGGCGGAGGAAGGTGTTGGTGCTGGAAGCAGGGGGGTACTTCTTCCGCTCCGACTTGTCTCTTCTCGAAGGCCCCTCCGCTCAAATGTTAGTGCTCGCTTTCCCTTTCTTTGCTTTGCTTTTCTTCCCGTCCGCTTTCTCCCGACCCTGTGCGCTGTGTTCATCCCTTGCTGCTGCCATGGGAAATGATCTGTCAGGCTCGCTCGAGAGAGCATTCACAGCCAGTTGCTGCCCTCTTTCCTCCCCGTTGATCCGTCTTCTCAACCTTTTTCCTCTAAATTCTGTGTTCCCACTTTCTCTTCTCATCCTACCTCTTATTTCCTTCATTGTCCTGGCTCCCCTTAGGTACGACACGCAGGGCTTTCTCACCACCAAGGATGGCGGGGTAGCGCTGGTGGTGGTTGAACTTCTGGGTTCCCACACTCCTGTTTCATCCTCCCTCTTCTCTCCTTCCCTGTTCTGCCTCCCTCAGGTACGACACGCAGGGATTTCTGACCACGGAGGATGGCGGGGTAGCGCTGCTGGCAGGGAGAACAGTGGGAGGCGGCAGCGCTGTCAACTGGTCTGCATCCTTCCGCACCCCGCCCCATGTCACCAAGGAGTGGGCCAACGAGTATGGGCTTAAAGTGAGCAGGCGTGGGTAAATAGTATAGGCTGTGCTGTGGTTGGGCATGTGCTGAGTGTGGTGTGTTTGTGACTAGTCGGGAAGCAAGTAGAACAGTGGGAGGTGGCAGCACTGTCAACTGGTCTGCATCCTTCCGCACACCGCCCCATGTCACCAAGGAGTGGGCCAACCAGTATGGGCTCAAGGTAGGCCAGCATGGGGTTGTTGAGATGCTGATGAGCATATTACTCCGAGTTTTGCTTTTGTTATAAACGTTCCTAAACATGGATGGTGTGATGTAGAACGCGCTGTTATCCCGTGCCACCGTGCCATGTGATTCACTTCTGCACGTACACGGCTCTCTCTCATGCCCCTCTTGCTCACTTTCCCTCTTCTCGCCTGCTCTCCTCCTCTCTGCCCCGCACTGCTGGCAGCAATTTGAGACGCCAGAGTATTCAGCAGCCATGGATGCCGTGTGTGAGAAACTCAAGGTGCGTTTGAGAGGATGAGGGTTGTGAGAGGTTGCTGCAGGGGTGTGTGAGGCCAAAGCTGCATTGAGTTCAATGCCTCTGCACTCCCTTGCCTGCTCCATGTGTTGCGATTCCATTCTCCGCCTCTTGCTCACTTGCCCCACTGCATGCATGTTCCCTGCTGCACAGGTGACAGCAGACGAGTCCCTCACCCCACACAGCCTGAGCAACGCGGCACTCAAGGCGGGGTGCGCGGCTCTGGGCTGCCACCATGCCATCACCCCCCGCAACACCAACCAGCCTCACTCCTGTGAGTCCCGCACGCCAGCCTCACTCCTGTGAGTCCCGCACGCCAGCCTCACTCCTGTGAGTCCCGCACGCCAGCCTCACTCCTGTGAGTCCCGCACTGCATGCATTGCAACCAGGATAAGTGGCATCATTGCCATGTGCTTTCCACACGCGTGCTCTCAGCTCAACCTTTGTCCCCCCTCCCTCTGCTCAAGCCCTCTCAGGCGCCTGGTGCACCTTTGGCTGCTGGTCAGGCGAGAAGCAATCGATGCTGGAAACCTGGTTACCAGACGCCGTTACACATGGCGCCCTCATCCTCTCCCACTGCGCCGCCCTCCGCCTCCTCCTCTCGCCCAACCGCCCTGCCAGCACGACCCCTGGTGCCACAAGCAGCAGCGCGGGTGCTGGCGTGAGACGGAGGAAGCGGGTGGTGGGGGTGGAGGCGAGGGTAGAGCAGCAGGGCGTGCGGCAGAGAGTCGTGGTGGAGGCCAACTTGGTTGTTGTGGCGTGTGGCAGGTGGGTGGCGTGGCGTGTGGCGGCAGGTGGGCAACGTGTGGCAGGTGGGTGGAATGTGGCAGGTGGGTGGTTGCCAGGTGGGTGGAATGTGGCAGGTGAGAGCATCTAGGCCACCAGTCTCCACACGCCTCCGCTGCTGCTCGCCAGTGGTCTAACCAACCGGGCCATCGGCGTCTCACTGCACCCTGTCACCTCCGCTTGGGGCTTCTTCCCCTCTTGTCCCCATTGCTCCCCTTCCCCCTCCCACCCTTAACCCATTCTCCACCCCTTGGTTCCCCACCGCCCCTCGTTGACACACATTGCACCCACCTATCCCCCATACCCCCTCCCCCCCCGGGCCCCCACCAGTCTGTGCACGCCCCCTCTGCCTCACTGCGCCTGCACCCCGTCACCCCGTCACCCCGTCACCCCGTCACCCCTTCACCATCGGGGCTTCTTCCCGAGACCTCCCTGTCCCTTCGCCCCTATGCTCCCCTGTCCCTTCGCCCCTATGCTCCCCTGTCCCTTCGCCCCTATGCTCCCCTGTCCCATCCCCCCTATGCTCCCCTGTCCCTTCGCCCCTATGCTCCCCTGTCCCTTCGCCCCTATGCTCCCCTGTCCCATCGCCCCTATGCTCCCCTCTCTGCCCCCCCTTAATCCACTTGTGCCACTCCTTGCCCCTGCCACTCCTTGCCCCTGCCACTCCTTGCCCCTGCCACTCCTTGCCCCTCATTGCAACCACTTAACCCCCACCAGCCTCCACACGCCTCCTCTGCTGCTCGCCAGCAGTCTGAAAAACCCCGCCATAGGAGCCTCACTGCGCTTGCACCCCGTCACCTCCGCCTGGGGCTTCTTCCCTGAGACCGCTCCCTCCCTGCCGCCCTCCCTGCCCGCTGGCCCGGGGTACCTGGGGCCGATCATGAGCGTCAACTCGAGAGAGACGGCTAACTGGGAGACAAGTGGATATGGTGCTATGATCCAGGTAAGGGTGCGGGTGCTATGAATCAGGTCATATAAATCAGGTCATATAAATCAGGTCATATTATTCAGGTCATACAAATCAGGTCATATTATTCAGGTCATACAAATTAGGTCATGTTATTCAGGTCATATAAATCAGGTCATATTATTCAGGTCATACAAATCAGGTCATATTATTCAGGTCATACAAATCAGGTCATATTATTCAGGTCATACAAATCAGGTCATATTATTCAGGTCATACAAATTAGGTCATGTTATTCAGGTCATAGAAATCAGGTCATATTATACAGGTCATACAAATCAGGTCATATTATTCATGACCGTCAACTCGAGGGAGGCGCCCAACTGGGGGACCACTGGATATGGCGCCATAATTCAGGAAATGGGTGCAGGTCATATCAATCACGTCACATCTGTGGCCGATCAGTCAGCAATGCCTATCCACCACCATTAGCAAGATGCCAGCAATCAATCCACACCTCCCTCGTCCCTCCGCCATGCCTATCCTCCACTCTCTCGCAAGCCACATGCCGCATGTCTCTCCTTTGCTCCCTCCCTGCCCTCCAGACTGCACAATGTCGTCACACGTCTCCCTTGCCGCACCCTGTACTTATCCTCCTTCCTCTCCCCCCCGTGTGCCATCCCAGACCCCCACCATGCACCCGGGTCTGCTGGGCTGCGCCATACCCTGGCTGGGCAGTCAGGCCATCAAGCAGTCTGCAGTGCGCTTCGACCGCATTGCCTCGCTCATCGCCATTGTCAGGGACCGCGGGCATGGCACTGTGCGCGTGGATGGCAGCGGCCGGCCTGTAGTGATGTACCGGCTGTGCAAGGAGGACCAAAAGAGCATGCAGGTGAGATGTAAGGGAGGGGAGAGTGGGGAAAAGGGGTTGGGGAGGGGAAAGTGTATGAGGGGGGTGGAGGGGGATGTGGGAAGGTTGTGCAGACATGTAAATCGACTCAAAAGTCACCCCAGCTGGGCAAGGCGGGTCAGGTTGTGCTAGCAAGCTTTTCATGCAAACAACTGTGGGCTGTCTCCCCGTCTCCCTCTCCTTGTTCCCCATTGCGCTATGCATGATCTGCCACCCATCACCAGGGGGCCCTGCTGCTGTTGACTTTTGGGTCGAGTCAAAACACGTCTCTCCCCGTCTCCCTCTCCTTGTTCCCCAATGCACTATTCATGACCAGGAGGCCCTGCTGCTGTCGCTGCGCATCCTCAGAGCAGCAGGAGCAGTGGAGGTGGGAACGCTTCACCAGTCACTCAAGCCCTTCCGCTGCCTCATCCCACCACCCGTCGATGCCGATTCAACTGATGCAGCAGCAGATGCAGCCAGTGTCAGGTTGGGTGGCACTGGTGGTCCAGTGGGGAGGATGGATGGATGGCAACGCACGTCCGATGCAGAGTTTGAGTCGTATTTGAAATCTGTGGCTGCGGCGGGCTTTAAGCCGAATGACTGCACACTGTTCTCTGCGCACCAGACTGGTAGCTGCCCCATGGGTATTTCCCATAAGAGCTCTGTTGTGGATGAGAATGGGGAGAGTTGGGAATCGTCTGGGTTGTTTTTGGGAGATGGAAGTGTTTTTCCGACGCCTGTGGGAGTTAATCCTATGGTGTCTATTGATTCAGTGGCGTTCATGATTGGGAAAAGGCTAGCAGATAGATTTAGGAAAGGGGAATTTAGTAGTGAGTGAAACAGACCATGTCACACTGCTTTGAGTGGAGACGGAAGACGTTAAAAAATGTAATGTTTTAGGAGCTATTGCAGTACTGGATGAGCCTATAGCGAGCTGTCGCACCCACACCCATCACCTGTTGATGCTTTCCTGCAAGTGTGCTTGCTGAGGAAGGTCTGATTTGGACGTACACATGTGGGGTGCCTGCCTGGCGGAATATCCCAGCGGAAACGGGTCGTCAAGCCTGACGACCTGTTGACGACTTGACGACATGCTGCCTCGGGCAGAAAAAAACTAAAACCCCATCGGATGGCATGCCATCCGAGGGAGGCATCAACCCTAAATCCATGCCTCCCCGTGTTTAGGGTTGATGCCTCCATGACCGGATGCATGCCCGAATGGGGTTTATTTTTTTTGCCCGCGGGCAGACAGCTCCCCCGGGCGGACTCGCTTGTCCGCTGAGATATATTCGGAGGCTGGCTGGATGAATGAACTTGGCCTGGCTAGGCATCTCTACTGTACACTTTGTTTTTTTCAACGGTCTGTGGTTGTTTGTCTCGATATTACCAATGTTCGGTAGAGTACGTTTCAGCACGGTATTTCTTGGATATTGAAGTTCAGTGGAGACTTTTCTGCATCAGTTGGAGCAACCAGGTTGCTTGCTTACAAAACGTTCCAGCTGTATGTGCATGCACTGTTTGTCAAATCATAAATGCCAGCTGGTTGCAGCTTTCGGTGTGTTTCGTTCCTCCGCAAAGTGCTTGACCTGCAAGTGGCACCAATCGGAGGTTCGGAAAATGCGGAACGGTTAGGTCTGCGTCGCGGGTTACGGTCAAGTTCATTTCACACGTTCGTACAAAATCGCGTCGTCGTCACGTCACGCTACTGTAGAACTCTCTCAAGTCTCAGCTCGCGTCATTCGACTCCCCCAAGCCGTCCGTCAAGTAAGCCGCCAACATGGTGTTCGCCGGCATCCCAAATGAGTAACCGACCGGCGACTCCGACTTTCGTGAGAGCCTCGGAGAACATGGTACAGAAGAGAACGGTGCTGTACTCGCTGATCTGCCCAAACAATTTGGTAAGGTACGGACTTTGGTGGTCTGGTACAGATGGTGTCAGAGGAGACAGCCCGGTTCGGCTTTCTAGCGACTGACTCAGCAAGGTCACCGAGCAGAACCATGCAGCACCACGCACGCCTCGAGCAATTCTTTCCTTCTCGAGTCGTTTGGAAGTTCTTCCGCCCACACGTAGTTGAGAATCGCGAGCGCGCTAAAAAATGTTGACTTCTTTTCCCCCACAGCTTCAACGTCCTCATACCATCTCGGCTTCTCTCTCAGTACGCGTTCTTCAGTTCCTAAGCCCTGTCACGTGACGCCTTCTGTTATTCGTCGAAATTGATGGCGTTTGCCGTCGCACAGCCCGCGTCTTCCGCAGATCCCGTCATCGTTCTTCTTCCCGATGGCTCCATTCGTTTGTATCACGAGCAGCTCATGCAAGTCAGGGACGTCCTTAGAGAGTTTCCCCACCACGGCCTCGCGTCGCTGAATCACATCGCAGCGTCGGGCGCGGGGGCACCGCCAGCTTCTGCTTCTTCTGGCTATTGCTACGCGATGTCGCGACAATCACAACCGCCAAATGCGGCGCCTCTTCCGCCGGAGCGTTTTTTGCGGCCTGGAGGAACCTATTGCTTGGTGGAGCACCCAGTCTTGGCTGCACACGATGCTCTCTCGGTTAACCACGCGCGCCGGCCGCATGATTTGGCGACATGTGCGGCGGAGTGCACGGCGAGCGATGCGGACAGCAGGATTGACGACTCGGAGTCGCCATCGGGAGATGCGGCCGTCGTAAGCTGCTTCACGCCGCGTGCGTCCCGCGCCTCGACCCGCCAACGCGTTGCGGTCGCAACGACAGGCGGCGGATCCGGCTTGGAGCGCGCGGCGTCAATGCCCCCCATACACCAATCGCTGCGCGCCGCGCTGATGATGCCGACAACGCCGCGAAAACCTACTACTACTGTTGCCGCCAGCGGCTCTGCCGCGTTGCCACCATCGCCTGGCGCCGCCGCGACAACAACCGTGCGTCCCCTTGGGCGGACTACCAGCGGAACGATGCCGCCCACTGCGCCAACCTTCCCCAACTCCGTCTCGCTGCGCGCGCCGTCCTCCGCCGCTTCCGCCCTCATCTCCCCGCGCGCGCCACCGGCCTCCGCGTCCGCCCTCATATCCCCGCGCGCACCCCCTGCCTCCGCTTCGTCGCTCATCTCCCCCCGCGCGATTCTCTCCAGCGGGTCGCGGAAGCTTGCGCGCGCCTTGACCGCTCTCCCCCGCCCGCGTAGGTCGGGGACTTCAGCAGCCCGCGAGCGCGACGGGACAGAAAGGAGCCTCGTCCCGCGAGACGTCAGCAATCACGGCGCGTCAGGCCCGTGGTCACTGATGGACCTCATCTCGCCAAAAGGCCGAGGCGCGAGCGCGTCGCGTGCCGCACAGCAGCTTGGTGATAATATGATTCCCGCAGAAGATATGTACTCCTGGGAAAACGCGATTCGGGACCTCAAAATCTCCCGTGGTGAGCGTGACGAGGAGGGGGAGGCGGAGAGTAACGAAAGGCAGCGAAACGGGAGTGTTCGTTATGGCAGTGGGCGAAATGAGGCGAGGCAGACGAACTGGTCGGGAGGGCTGACAACCAGAAGCCTCCCGCTTCTGTCGCCCGTGGAGACCGCAGCTGAGACCGGCGAGGGCGCGCAGCAGCAAGGGCGGAAGGCTGCAGATTCAGTGCAGTCAACGCAGTCAACGGGGTCAACGGGGCTGTACATCTCTAGAGTGTCCAGTCAGGGCAGTCTTGGCATGGCTCGGAGCAGCTCTGAGAGCTCTGAGAGCAGCTGCAGTGGCGGAGGAGGCAGCAGCTGGAGAGGGTATGCAAGCAGGAGCAGCGTTGCTGAGAGCAGCAGCGGCAGTATCAGCGCCAGCACCAATGACAGCAGCAGCGTCAGTAGCAGCACCAAGGGTCGGCTGCAGGCAGCGTCTCACCGCCTCTCTCTGTTCAAGTCCCTCCGCCTGCATGTAGCCCGCCCCTCCGCTGCTGCTGTCCTTGGCACACATGCTGCTGATAAAGCAGCAGCAGTGGAAGGAACCCATGCTGATGGCCTGAACAGAAATATGCTGAGCCCTACATGCTGGCTTGAGTTCCAGCGCAGCAAAGCTTGCATGTGCGGCAGGACTGGGTGAAGGGGGCGGTGAGGAGATCTATCTTGGAGCTTCAGCACCTTGTGTCGCTGCCTCTTCTGATTCCTCCAGCAACGACCTGACGCAGATGAAGGACTGGTTCTCCCGTAACGTGGCCTCGGCTCCTAATACTCCACTTCCTGTGCTGCCTCGAGATGCTCCTACACCCAAGTTAATGAATAATCGTGGTTTTCTTGCTGCTGCTTCAGGAAGCACACTGGCAGGTCCTAGCATGAGGATGCAAGGTGTAAATGCTCCTGATCATGTTGTTCAACCCTTCCCGGTGATGCCTGTGCATGCTTTCTCGTAGTCATATTGATGTAGTGGTGTTAGCCAGTACGTACCGTGATTGTGCTGTTGTGTAACCATTAATGTATTTTTTGTGTCATTCCGCTTTTGTGTCCGCGAAAATGTACAAAAAACACTACATTACTGTATATTTCCTAGCTCATCTATACCCAATCGCATCTTCGCCAGCCTTACAATTCCATCATCCACGAGCGTGGCCTCCCTGTCCTGAAATCAAGCGCGCCCCGCAGGCCCAATTTTGGTCTGTGCGAGCCGCGCGGGTTGCAGGCCGTCCAGCTTCCCTCGCAACACAAATCTCTCGCGCACACTCACAGCAGACTTCTCCCGCCTGTCGGTGCGAACAAATTCGAGACCTGGGTTTGGGCAACAGCGAAGCAGTGAGGGAGGGGAGGAGAGGAGGAACACAGAGAACGGAAGCAAGTGAAAGCGAGACACAGGCACTGTATGGAAGTGCACCACAAGCTGATGCAAGTCGTGGTGTGTCATGGCATTGGTATGACGGCGCAGGGCTAGCACGAAAAGGGTTCCTTTCTCCCTGCTTTGTGAATTACGGGAGAGGAGTAGGGCTGCTTCGTGCCACTTCGTACTGCTGCTTTGAAAGCCACTTCGTGACATTTCCGACCGACTAGAACCGCCTCTCTGAGCTTGCGAGTGCCACCGACCCCATCCTTCCTCCACGTTCAGTAGTTAACTCTTTCGTCGACTTCTGTTGCGATTCTTCGGGACCTTCGATATCCTTACGGACTCTTCAGCATAGTCCGAAGACGTATTTCTCCTCACCCAAGTCGCTTGCTCCACGCATCGGCAAGTCGCTGAAGAAGAAAGGCGTCTAGCCTCGGGAGACCTCATGCGGCGCGGCACGGATCTCTCGACAAAGCGAAGCGTAGTACGAACAGAAACCGGGAGCCCGGCGTGTCGTAGGAATCACGATTGTCAACCAGAAGCCTCGCTAAAGATGGGCTCGATACCGCTAGAAAGACACAGCTCGTCATGCCCAGAACCCAGCTCCCAGTACTATCGAGATACACAAGTATTAGGTGCGAACCGCCGTCCATGCTTGTTACCAAGCCGCGCGAGATGGCAACAACGGCTCGCCCTCTCTTCCTTCGTGCTCTCCCTCCCATTCGCGCTCCTCGCGCTCATGACCGTTGCGATTGCGCCGAGCAGAGCGGCGGGGTTGGTGGCAGGCGTGGTGTCGCGAACCAACATGACGATCCTCCTCAACGGCGTGCCGGTGGTGCCCAACATGGTCGTCGCAAAGGACGGATCCGGCGACTTCACCACTATCCAGGTGCGTGCGACACGTGCGAAACGTGCGACGCGTGCGATGGCGCATGGTCACGAAGCGTGCGATATTTATGATGACCGCGCTCTAGAACTACGTGGGCGATACTGAGTGCTCGTGGGCTTCGCGAGGCGGAGCGCGCCAAGCAAGATACGGCTGGCCGGTAGATTTGGCGGACGAACGGGCGGCAGGTTGAATGGACGCGAGGGAGGAGACGATTACGTAGGGAAGGAAGCAGGGAGATAGGTAGGGGAGGAAGGAGGAGGTAGTGAGACTACTTACCAATTGCCCATTGCAGACCGATTGCTAAACAGGACTGCTGCCGCATGCTCGTGTGCTACTCGCCAGCACATCGCGCTCGCTATTCTGCTATCACGTGGCGAGTATCTGGATGGCGTCTGACGTGGCATGGTGGTCGTTTTGTGACGTGGCAGGAGGCGATATACTACGTGCCGCCAGCGTACTTGCCGAACCAAGGGACGAAGATCTTCGTGAAGGCCGGGTGGTACAACGAGACGATCATCATCCGACCGTACATGGTGCGTTACATCAAGAGGGTTGTTTTTTAGGATTCTCAAAGGCGTCGCTCGCCCGCCGCGAGCATCATCCTCGCAGCGCGCTCTCCGCACCTCCGCGCGCGACCGCATTGTGGCATGCTCGCCTCTCCACCCTCTCCAATGCTCCGCCCAAACCCTTTCACCTCCCCCTCCCGCTTCCCTCTCCCTCCTCCCCTTTCTCCCCGCAGCGCTACCTGGCGCTGATCGGCGATCCCGAGAACGGCGGCAGCACGTTGTCGTGCAACCGCTACAGCGGCATGCTCAACGATAACGGCGACATGCTCTCCACGTGTAAGCACCGCACACTGCCTCCACGTGTTGGCACCGCATCGGCTCGCCGTGCCGGCGCGCGGCCTTGAGTCGCGCGACGGCCGTAATTGCCATTGCCCCGATCCATGTGCTCCCCCTGTGATCGTCCCTCTCTACCATCACTCGCTTTCCTCGCTTTACTCATCTGTCCCCTTCACGTGCTGTCCCTCCCTCCCGCAGTGAACACGGGCTGTTTTGTCGTATTCGCGGACGATTTCACGGCTGTGAACGTCAACTTTGAGAACGCGTCGCCGCGGCCGCCGCCCAACAGCTACATCTACCAAGCGGTGGCCGTCAGAGTGACAGCCAACCGCACCGCGTTCTACAACTGCTCCATCAAATCGTTCCAGGTAGGCCCCGCCGCCGCCCTCATCTCCGACGACGTCAAAGTCATCGTCATCGTCATCGTCATCGTCATCGTCATACCGTCACCTTCAGAGTCATTGGCGCGAACGCTGGTCAGAGTCCCTCCATGCGAGCCGCACCGCCGCCACACACACTCACCCACGCGCTTACCCCCTCCCCTCCTCCGCGTCCGCTTCCCCCTTCCCCTTCCGCCTTCCGCCTGTTTCCGCAGGACACGCTGTACGCGCACAAGGGGTGGCAGTACTACAAAGACTGTGAGTAGCGCAGCGAGGGGAAGCGGGGGGGAAAGGGGTGTGTGAACGTGAGGAGAGGAGTGAGCTGCTCGTTTCCCAAACGACTCGTTGATTCTCACTCATCTCTCATTCCCCACGCTTCCCCACACTCCCTCACGCCGCCTCACGCTCCCCCTACTCTCCCCTCCCCCACCTCCACATTCCAGGCTACATCTTCGGGACGGTGGATTTTATTTTCGGGCAGGCGAAGGCGCGGTTCGAGTCGTGCGTGCTGCAGATGTCGAGCTACGGGTTCGCGTCGGTGACGGCGCAGAAGCGCGACATTAAGGACGACGATAACTGCTTCGTCATGGTGCAGAGCCGCATCATCGGGCAACAACCCATCATCGCGCAGGTAGGTGTTCGTGCTGAAATGAGGGGAGTAACGGATGGGGGAAATCGAGGGGGGGGGAGAGGAGGGGAGCGCAAGAGTGTGACATCAAGGACGACGACAACTGCTTCGTTATCAAGGATCAAGAGTGCAGAACCGGGCAGCAACCCAGAAATGAGGGCAGTTGCATATGGGGGGGAGTGGGGGGAGGAAAGCATAGTAGAGGGACAACAACCCATCACCGCTCAGGTGCGTTTGTGTTGAAATGAGGGGAGTAACCGGTGGGGGGGGAGCGGGGATAGGGAGGCATCAAGAACGACGGCACCTGCGTTGTAATGGAAAGAGGCATTAAGAAGGATGATGATTGGTTAGTGATGGTGATGGGCAGAGCAGTGTCATGGGCCAACAGTCCATCATCGTGCACGTGACGTGGGTAAGGGGTGGCTGGTTGAGCGGGCAAGAGGGGAGGAAAGCGGGACAGAAAGTAGGCTGAGGATTGGCTGGTGATGGTGATGGAGGAGCGTCATTGGCCAGCAGCAGCCCACCATTCATGCAGGCGATGACACCATTCATCAATACCACCATGCAAGAAGTCTATGACGACTAGGACCCATGGCCGCAGGACCTGATGTGTTCTCCTGGTGCCCTCGTGTGTGTGTGCCCATTTGGTGTGTGCAGGGGTGGCTGGGGCGGTCATGGGGTCAGTACGCGTGCACCATCTTCGCACACTCGTACATGGACGAAATCATCAACGCTGATGGTGAGACCGCTGAGAATACACACACACACACACACACACACTCGTACTGGAAAGAAACTGACTTCCTGGCACCTGGAGTAGTGTAGCTGACATAGTGCTAAGCGCAGTGCATGGGACAACTTTCTGGCACCCGGAGTGGTGTAGGTGACATAGTGCTAAATGCAGTGTGTATGTGCGATCGCACGAAAGAACGCCGACACCACACACTGTCAAGAACAAGATGAGGTGGGGGAGAGATGCTCGCCCTCCACCACATGTCGAGAACAATGTGATCACCTCCCCCGCTGAGCTCTCTCTATACCTGAAATGAGGGAGTGGGTGATGTTCCACACCGAGTACAAGAACAACCCCCGCCTCTCCCATCACCTGCCTCGAACATCTCTCCCTCTACCTTCTCTCACTTATTACCCACCCCCTTCATGCTGCTTCCCCCCCAGCATGGAACAATTTCTACGTGCGGTCACGGGAGTGGACGACATTCTACGCGGAGTACAACAACACGGGCATCGGGGCCAACCTGGACGGGCGCGTGCTGTGGCTCAAGACCATGACTCCAGCCAGCCGCAGATACTTCCTCAACAAGGCCTGGATCGGCCTCGACTCGTGGTTCCACCCCTTCCCTCAAATGATGTGAAATGCCTATGCCGGTTAACAGATTCTTACGGTATATAGAGATCTCGGTCAATGTGTTACATAGCTGGCCAGCTTCCTGTTACCGTACACGTTTTACCTGAAACCCTGCCACACCGGACCGTTTGGTGATGCAAAGCATACTCACAAGGCAGGGTAGCTAGGTTCCTGCTACCAGCCATGTATTGAACACTCCCTAATTAATAATGTGGCGTCTTGCCACATGTGCGTTGGTTAAGTCAGAGTTCATAATGTCACCACACCATGAAGCTAGCGGTGCAACCATAGCATAGCATGGCCATGTTGCATGACCGTGGCACATGCAGTACCTAGGTAGTGCAAATAGATGCGCTGTTAGTTTATGGCAAAAATTGGGCATCATGTCATAATACTGAACGAGAATGAATGCATTGAAACAGAAAAATGGTACAAGTACTAACCCTAATTGGATTGTACCCCTTATGGGCTACCCCACTACAGCCTACACAATGTAAGCATTTAACATTTTGACACACCCCCATAGGCAAAGTGGGGGAGAACAAGTGGTAACAACACCAGTCAAGAAAAGCAAAGCAAGCTCAGGGTGGATCACGAAGTCACCACACATTCCGAGCACAAGCAAATGGCCACAAGGTCAGTTCACATGCTGAGTTATATAAAAAAGAACAAACGGTACAGTGACCATACCCTAGCAAATGTAAGCACGCATGTACAGATCACAGTACAAGCAAAGTCACGTAGTGAGCAAGTGAGGCAAAGTAGGCACAAGGCCTAAAACAATACAAAAACGCTGATGATCACCAGACTGAAGTGCCTTGGTGAATATATCAGCAGTGTTGGCCCGAGTGGCCACGTAAGCAAGACGAAGCTGACCACGCTGCTGCAACTCTCGAGCAAGGAAGTAACGCAGAACGACGTGCTTCGTTCTGTGCTCCTGACACAAGGCAATCATGGCCTTGTTGTCTACATACAGAACTGGAGAAGAACGAGGCCGCTTTTCCAAGTCGGTCAGCAGGTAGGTGAGACAGCGTAACTCCTGTACAGCCATGACCCCTGCATAGATCTCGGCCTCACAACTAGAACTGAGAACAGAAGACGAGCGGGTAGACCGCCAAGAAACGGAGCCTGAGCCAAGGCTGAAAGTGTAACCCTGTGACGACCACTGCGTTGCCAAGTCGTCAACCCAGGAAGCGTCTGCGTGTCCAGTGAGGACAACTGGACCCCGTCCTCCAAGCACGAGCCCCATGCCCGATGTACTGCACAAGCAGCGCAACGCCCTCTTAGCGGCCTCCCAGTGCTCTGGTCTGTGTCTCCCGGGCGCAACGTAGCGTGCCGGGATGCTAAGAGGGTAGGCAAGTGCAGGTCATCAGGTACATGAGGTAGCCCACAAGCTCTGGATACGGGCCACTTGGCTCTACGGACTCGTTCGAAGGTGGAGCTGAGAGCGAGTGATCGGTAGGCAGAGGAGTGGACTGTGGCGAGGAGTACTGGAAGCCGAAGCGCTGAAGGACCTGGTGCACCATGTGTGACTGAGTTAGGGTGATGGTGCGCCGTGCTTTGTCCTGGGTGATCACAAAGTCAAGATAGCTGCGCAGCTCACCCATGTCAGTGTAGGTGTGTCTCTTCTGCAGCTCCGACTTCACAAGGGCTAGTGCCTCAGTGTCAGCAGAGGCAAAGACCAAGTCGTCGACGTACACGAGGACGTAGAACGGCGGCAGCGAAGTGTCAGTGCGCAGAAACAGCGACGGGTCAGCAGTCGAAGGAGCAAACCCAAGAGCCGCAAGCGTCGTCCTCAATGTGTTGTGCCACTTGCGAGGCGCCTGGCAAAGACCGTAGACTGGCCGTCGGAAGCTCCACTGGGTACCTGCAGGAAACGACCCAGTGAAGCCAGGTGGGCGGCGTAGCCAGATCTCCTCGTGCAAGCTGCCCTGTAAGAAAGCTATGCTGAAGTCAAGAGAGTGCAGCTCGTACTCACGCTGAGCTGCAACGTGCAGCAGAACCCAAAGAGTGGTCATCTTCGGGGTAGGGGAGAAGGTCTGGAAGAAGTAAACTCCCTGTCGCTGTCACAGGATCGAATTTCCACTCGAGAATGTTGCACTAAAGGTGAGTACAAGGCGTATTTATTCTCAGAAATACATAGAAACAACAGATAATCCGAACCTTCGGGAACGCGCTCTTCTAGAATAGATAATCACAAGTGCGCATAAGCACGCAAGCCCATTGGCACTTCGGATTATGGCGAGATTACGCCTTGTACACCACTGTCGGTGCTGTCGGTGCCGTATAATGTAAATGTCGGTGCCGAAAATACCAAATGAGTGAAATAATCGGGAAGCTCTAGAAAATAGAATAGTAGTCCGATTGAGGTGAAATAAAGTGCAAATGAAAGAGGAAAATAAGGAGAATAAGATGGAGTAAAAATATGGAAATGAGAAATATGTCGAACGTCGGCGTACTCTCACACTTCCCCCCCTCAAAGCTGGGTGGTAGATGTAACACCCTGCTTGACAAGATAGTCGCGGAGAGAACGTCGGGCGTTACCCGTCTTCTTCAGAGACCCAGCTGTCCTCAGAAGGATCATAGCCTTTCCAGCGTACGAGAAACTCCAGGGCGCCATGCCGACGACGACGATGTGCAAGCACAGATTCAACCTCGTACTCAAGTTCATCATTCACGAGGACTGGAGGCGGCGGCGGAGGTTGGCGTCCCGTGTACAGCTTATTTGGATCTTGATAGAATTTAAGAAGCTGCACGTGGAAGGCGTTATGAATCTTCTAAGAAGCTGGTAGGCGCAAGCGGAATGTGACTGGAGTGACCTGCTCTTCTACGAGGAAAGGTCCGCAGAAGCGAGGTCGTAACTTGGATGGAAGGTGACCGAGGTTGAGGTTGCATGTGTCGAGAAGCACATGGTCACCAACCGCAATGGTATGATCACGTCGATGGCGATCGGCCAAGCGTTTCTGTGAAGACTGTATGTCCTGTAGACGCTTGTGTGTCCGATCCCAAAGCTGCTGCATTGTGGTAACGAATTCGTGCGCGGGTTGGACAGTTGCAGGTACTGTCGGCTGTTGTGGAGTTAGTGGATGTCGTCCGTAACAGAGGAAAAATGGGGTCTCTCCTGTTGCGGCATGCTTCGCATTATTGTAGGCGAACTCCAACACCGGAAATTGCAAGTCCCACTTGTTAATGTCGTCCTTGCACGCTGCGCGCAAGAGTTGTTCCACAATTTGGTTCAAGCGCTCTGTCTGCCCATCGGTCTGGGGATGATATGCAGATGACATTGCTAGGCGTGTCCCCATGAGCGACATGAGCTCTTTCCAGAACTCGCTAGTAAACTTGGGGTCACTGTCGGATATGAGGGTTGTTGGGATCCCGTGCTGTGAGATGATGTGTTTGAGGAATAGCTGTGCCGTTTCCTCCGTGCGTGCGGTTGTATGTGTCGGAATGAAGTGTCCCATCTTTGAGAATTTGTCGATGACGACCAGGATGGCGTCATGCCCCGCGTTGGTAGGTGGTAAACCGGTGATGAAATCCAAGTTGACCACTTGCCAAGGCTGTTCCGGGACGGGTAAAGGCTGAAGAAGTCCTGCTTTCTTCTGCTTACTGCTTTTCATCCGCTGGCACGTGTCGCACGAAGTGACAAACTATTGCACATCTTTTGCCATGTGAGGCCAGTAGTAGACTTTCGCAATCCTGGCAAGAGTCTTGTTACTCCCGAAGTATCCAGCGTAGAGCACGTCATGGAATTCTTCGAGAAGCAACTGGCGAAGAGGCGGGTAGTTGGGTACCCATATCTTTGTTGATCCTTTGCGTAGTGCGACGTCGTGGTCCCACTGCAACAATTTCTTTTTCTCTGCTAAGGGAATCTCGGGGTCGATGGTATACCCGTGCGTGAAGAGTCCCTTGAGTAGCGGATTCATCCCCTCAATCTGTATGGCGGCAACGTGTCCAGGCCGGCTCAGTGCGTCAGCCTTATTCTTGTGTCCCGGCTTGTACACGATGTCGTAGTCGAAGTGCGTCTCGAGGAAGTCAATCCACGTGACTTGTCGTCTGGAGAGGTTCGGCTGCGTTTTCAAGTATTTTAGGCTGCAATGGTCTGTGTAGACCGTGGTCTTTCTCCCTTCGAGGTAGCATCGCCATGTCTTGAATGCGGTGATGATCGCTAAGGCCTCTTTGTCGTGAATCGGGTAGTTGAGTTCCGCCCCGTGCAATTTTTTGCTGAGGTAAGCGATTGGTTGTAGTCCTTTCCCTTGGTCTTGCATCAAGACTGCTCCAACTGCTTGGTCGCTAGCGTCAGCTTCGATGACATAGTCTTTTTCTGGATCTGGCAGGATCAGGACGGGTGCGGACGTGAGTGCGGTCTTCAACTGCTCCATGGCTTGCTGGTGCACATCCTCCCACTTGAACGGTGTATTCTTCTTCAGTAGATTGGTGAGAGGTGTTGCAAACTTCGCATACTGTGGCACGAACCGATTATAGTAGTTCGCAAAGCCAAGGAATTGCTGAAGTTCCTTCACGTTCTCCGGTGTCTTCCACGTACGTACGGCTTCGATCTTCTTTGGGTCGACATGGACTCCTTGAGCGCTCACCATGTGTCCAAGGAACTGAACTTTCTTCAAGGCAAACTCGCTCTTGGATAGCTTGACGTAGAACTTCTCCCGTCGAAGTATCTCGAAGATACGTCGTAGGTGTTCGATGTGCTGCTTCATGTCCCTCGAGTAGATCAGGATATCGTCCAGGTACACCACCACTCATTCGTCGAGTAGAGGCCTAAGAATATGGTTCATTTCGGCCTGGAATGTAGCGGGTGCGCTGGTGAGTCCGAACGGCATGACGAGGTACTCGTAGGATCCGTATCGTGTCCGAAACGCTGTCTTATGGATGGAGTTATCCGCGATCCGGATCTGCCAATATCCCGATCTCAAATCGAGTTTTGAGAACACTGTGGCTCCACGAAGCTGGTCAAGTAGATCGTCGATCCGTGGAATCGGATACTTGTTCTTG